GTGTTCTCCAATTTTAATGCCCGGGATTTTTGATTGCTTCCGCCGCGATTTAACTCTGATGGATCGTTGGGTCGGCGACGTTATTCCTGGGACGTCGCACTTTTCCGACCGAGGAGAGGGATGTCGCGGGCTCGATGGGGTTCGAGGCGTGACATTTACATTGAAAAGTATGTAGATTATTGGCTTTATCTTTTACCTTCAAAAAGGGGAAAATTATCAAACAAGTATTAAATCTATTGCAATTATATCAATTCAGTCATAAACTTTTTTTTATTTTTTTTGCCAATTAAGTCTTATTGGTTTTGTATTTGTGTCAATTCAATCCATCCGACCAATTTTGGCCAGCCGGCGATGACGTAGACACTGTCTGGCCAGCCGACACTAATGTGAACATTTTTTAATAATATCTTAATAATATTTTAATAACTTTTCATATTTTTTATTTTCTTTTTATTTTTCCTTTTTTTCTTTTTCTTATTTTTTCTTCTTCTGTTCCTTCTTCCTCCAACCAGTGGCTAGACCTTGGCGGCCGGTCAAATGCGAGGCCCAGCAAGGCCCACCTCACCGGCCTGAACTCGCTGTCGTTGGGCGAGGGCTCGCCTACCCCTAGCAAGGCCGACCTTGTCGTCTCTAGGTGAGCTCTCACCAGATCTAGTCGCCTAGCGACAGCCAGGTCGGCAACCTCGCCATGGATGGGTGAGCCCTTGCCTCTGGTTGGTTGCCAATCCGGCGACTAGCTAGAGGAAGAAGGAAGGGAAGAAGGAAATAAAAAAATAAAAGAGAAAGAAAATAAAAAAATAAAAAATCTAAAAATATTTAAAATATTATTTAAATATTCACGTCAACGCTGGCCGTATCTTATAGGGCGTTCAACGTCAACATCAGCGCCAGTCGGCCAAAATTGGCCTGATGGATTGAATTGACACAATTACAATAAGTTTATGACTTTTTTGGTAATTTACCATTCAAAAACAGGTTCATTAAGCTTGTCGCGAGCTAAACTCGGCTAATGCATTATTAAGTCTAAGCCTAACTCGGCTCTTCCAAGGGCTACCAATTCGCAACTTAGGGTTAAAGTTTTTAACATGCAAAAGTTTTCGTGCTTAAAGTCGCCACTAATCTATTTGCGGTAGATCGATTAGAAACCTAAACAAAATATTGGGAGATATGTTTTATTTCTACGAACCAGAGATCTTAAGCTCGGGGACTTGATTACTCTATATCTAGTCTAACGCCGTTTCGGTACCTTATCTTTTCAAAAAAAAATGCTTAAGCAGGCAGTCTTGATCCATTTTATTACCTAATCACTAACATGCAGGGGTGATCATGCCGGTGCGCAATCCACCAATTTAACACCCAATAAGGAAAACAATAAATAAATTGCTAGATAAGGAGGACAACATACCCTAGAGCAACGCAAACATCTGCATTGTTAGCTAGAAAATCAGACAGACAATCCTAATATGATTTCTAATTAACAAAGCAAGGCGCACTCAAGGTGTTCTTTAGGGTTTGCGCTTTATTAAAATGCAAACTAACCTATATGCAATGACGTGCAAAAATTGAGATGCGATTAATGAAACCTAGCATGCGAATTATATGTCATGCGACGACGTGACCTAATCGAAATGACGGACAAATGATTTATTTTTGCTATTTTTTAAATAAAATTCGGAATTAAAAATACTTATTACCTAAGCATGCAATGTTTAATTGAGGAAACAAATTAATCTATTCTAGAGCAATATTTTTGGTATTTTTGTTTAAATTTAAAATAAAAAAATTACTCCAATTAAGATTGCAATCTATCGTAATCTATCCTAAAGTAACTCATTCTGGGATTTTCATGGAAATTCGGAATCTAAAAATAACCTAAATAATCTATTAGGATTAGAATAACACCTAATTTAAACTAGGAAATAAATTATCTTAAGTCCCAATTTAAACTAAATAATTATCCTATCTTCTAGATACATTTAGGATTCCCTAAACATGCAAAACTTCTAATTGAAATCTTATTTAACATATTTTTGGATTTTCTTTATTTTTTTTTAAAAATAATTAAACAAAGATAACAACCGCACTCAAACAATCCACACAATCTGCAAGATTCTTCTTATCAAATTCGAATTAGGAAAAAGAATCAAACTAACGGTCATTTCTATAGGGTTATAGATATCGACGGAGAGCCGATTATTTGAATTTGGAAAGCAGATAAAATTTATTATCGTATCTAAGTAGTTATGGACGAGATAATGATTTCCGTATCGCCACATATCGTACCTTAGGAATAAGGTTGGATAGTCGTCCAGATACGTTGCCAAATTAAGAATAATTCCTAATTTTGAGTGTTTTCAAATATTACATATATAACACACATTATCCTAAGATATCTAGTAATCCACACAATATTCACGGAATATTCAAAATATTCAAACTAGGAATTTAAATATTTTGAAAATATACCGGATAGAGATGTTTACCTGATTTGTGGATTACTTTCCAAATTCGAACTCGGTTCCGGATTGGGTTTGCGGATCATGGGACGGCCGATGGTGGTGGACCGGCTGTGGGGCTTGGCCTCGGCTAGCTTGCGACGGTGGTCAAGGGCGGTAAGCTCCACAGAAATCTGCAATGGAAAGATTAGTCACGTCGATAAAAGAGCAAAGCTCGCTGGACGTCAATGAGGCGCGGTGACGCTTCGGTTAGGGACTCTCGGGTCAGACTAGCTCTTCCAAGTAGATTCGTCTTCTTCTTTTCGGTGGCTTTTGTTCTTGTCCCCTGTGCTTTATGATCTCCACCGAGTCTCCCTCCACTTGGCACTAGATTGATGATGGGGCGTTTCAACTTGTATAGGTGAGTGCCCACTGTGAAAGAATTCTGCAAGAAACTCGAAGTACATGAGTATATGTAGCCCAGCATACTCTCCTTCTGAATTCTTCAATGACCGAGCCTCTTGTGAATGCCTTCGACTGGATACTTCGCCGTGCATCGTCGAGGGACTGCAAATGCTCGATTAACTTTCCGGGGACTCGCCTGACTTGTGGATATCTCCAGAGAACTTGATGAGGGCGGCAGTCACATAGCAAGGCACGATGGTGGCAACTCGGTAAAGGGGGTTCGTGTCGATGAAGCCACGAACTCGAGATCACAATGGTAGAGAACGCGCATGCTTCCTTTTTTTCCGTATCTCTTCCTGGACGTCTTGTAGTAGTGGAGGCGTCCGTCTTTGTAACCACACTCTTCCATGAGTGAGCCGAGTTTCATTCGATGCCCGAACTCGGTTTACGTGATAAATTTTAAGCTCGCTCGCCATCGCCGGTTCAATGTGAAATGCAATTAACCTATATGATCCTAAACTATATGCTATGCAAATTTAATATTTTTGTTTAGGGATTAAATTTTAATCCCTAATTTTCTATGCAAATTAACCACTCAATGATTAGCCAAAATTTAGGTGTTAACAAAGCTCATACCAAATCGGTATTTACATTGGTAATTATTGTCATCTTAGCTTACTCTCATGAAATGTCAACTTTGAATAAAAGATATTTTTTTTGCGGTGATAAATGAATCTATAGACACAGCCGGCCTATCAACCCAAAAGGGTAACATAAGCAAAGCCCAACTCTATATAAGCCCTTCTCCTGTGGGCTCAATCGAAGATGGAGCGTCATGACGGGGAACCACTTTCCAGATCAAAATCTGTGCAATTCATTCAGAACATTCTTCACGAAGCTAACACCCTTTAAAGGAATACTCAATGCTAACACAATTCAAAATGCCTTTCAAACAGGGCATTTTGAACTGCATCCACAGTCTGCACACGGGAAAAAAACGCTGAATCAGTTCAAATGTGTACCTCTCGAAGCTGGGGCGGAGCGGGGGGTGGTACAGCTTCGTCGGACGCCGGTGACAACTGCAAGGTGTCGAGGCGGACACGGAGGCGTCGACTAGGGCTAGGGCGACGGCGTCGGTGTCGGCGTCGGCGTCGACAGGTGCAGAGCGAGTCGAGGCGGAGGCGGAGGGCGTCGGCGTCGGCTAGGCCTAGGGCGGCGGCTAGGGCGTAGGGCTTCGTCGTCGACGTCGGCGTCAGCTAGGGCTAGGGCCGTGGGCCTTCGTCGTCGGCGTCGGCGTCGGAGGCGTCGCGTCGGAGGGAGCGCGAGTTCTCAGAGTGCAGGAAGGCCTCGGCGTCGAAGGCGTCGCGTCTGGGAGGAGAGAGAGACTCTACACGCGAGCGCGTACAGTCCAGTCGAGGCGTCGGCGTCGGCGTCGGAGTCGGCGCCGGCGTCGGAGGGAGCGCAAGCTTTGAGAGTAGATCCGGGAGGAGAGAGAGAGAGAGAGAGAGAGGTTTTGGGGGGGGCGCGAGCGGAGAAATATTATCCGGGAGGAGAGAGACAGGTTGGGGGCGCGCGAGGGCTTCATTTTGAATATTGGGGGTGTCTGACCGGGTGGGGCCCCTCGCCAGGTGTCGCACGCTGAAGGACTCGTTCTTTGCCACGGTGGAATCAGAGCGGTACCTAATATTTTCTCGGACGTCAATGCCCCATGAAAGGCCCAGTGCAACCTTCTTGACAGAAAAAAAAAAAGCAGCGATAGAGATATATAGCGGACATCAAGCGCATGTTGCACTTTGAAAATGTCATGACACAAGAACCAAAAATTTACATTGAAAAGTATATAGATTCTTGGCTCTATATTTTACCTTAAAAAAACAGGTTCGTTAAGCTCGTACCAAATTTGGTATTTACATCGGTAATTATTTACGTCTGTATAAACATGCAAGATATTTTTTGCGCAGTGATAAATGAATCTATAGACACATCCGCACTGTTAACCCAAGAGGGTAAAGATAAGCAAAGCCCAGCTGCATATAAATAAGGCACATTAGAGGAAAGATGATGCATAGAACCAAATCTATAGACACACCCACTCTCTATCAACCCAAAAGAAAAGAGGAAAAACCAATAGAGAGCTGATCTTGTTTTTGATCATCAACAATGTCTCTTGCAGTCACATACATGAGAGAACGGTTCGTTCATATCAAAACCAATTTCGACGAAGAGCTTCGGAAGGATATCGATTCCCATGTGTGCGTTTTCCAAGTCCCCAGCTCCCTCAGCTCTGCCAAGCCTCAGGCTTATACCCCACAACTCGTCGGCTTAGGACCCTATCACCACCTTCAGCCTCAGCTCCTGGAGATGGAACGAGTCAAGCTTGAGGTCGTGAAGAAGCTCCACAAGGAGTCCAGTGGCTCGAGCTTCATCGAGCTCACGAAAAAGCTCACTGATTTGCACCTCTATGTCCGCTCGTGTTACCACAAGTTCTTGGACATCGACGATGAGATGTTGTCGTGGATCATGACCGTGGATGCGCAGTTCCTGTTCCATCTGCTCTGCCAGCATGCCATCGGCAAGAAGAAACTCGAGTCATCGCCTTTTTTGCTTGGCCTAGCCGACCACGCGGGCAAGAAGCTCGCCGAGGATGCCATAGTGAGGGACGTCATGATGTTGGAGAACCAAATCCCGATATTCTTCTTGGCGAAGATGGTGACGGTCACATGCACGCCGCTAGAAGTTGCCGAGCGGAAGACAGTCGAAGAGAACTTCCCCCACATGCTGGTGGGGTTCTGCAAATCTCTCTCGCCGTTTAAAGAGACGATAGATTACCCTGTCGACAAAGCCTTGAAGCGTGCGCATTTGTTGGATCTTCTTTATAGTATGGTCGTGAAGAGAGAGGACGAATTCAAGATTGATATACCCGCTGATATCTTCAAAATCGAAGAACTTAATAAGATTGAGGAACCTAAGTCTAATAATGAAGGGCGCACTACGCCTCAGCCTCTGGATCTTATAGGGGATATGCTCATAATTTTACAGTCACCGAATTTACCTTTCACGGATAAAATTAGACCCCATGCTATGATGGTGCAAGGCATTATGAAAATCCTTTCTCAGCAAATTGGAGCCTCTACCCTCGATTCATTCGGGCACGAAGAAGCTCCCCCTGAAGAGAAGGGATTGATCCCAACAGCGTCCTCTCTCGCCAAAGCGGGCGTGAAATTCCGCAGAACGAATTACATAGAAGACACATCGTTCAACGAGAAAACGCACACATTTCAACTTCCCACGATCAAACTTGGCGTCAACTCGGAAGTCGTGATACGGAACTTGGTGGCATATGAGGCGATGGCGATCTCTGGTCCCTTGCTGTTCGCACGCTTCATGGAGATCATGGAGGGCCTGCTCAACACCCCGCATGACGTGAAGTTGCTCAAGAAACACGGTATCGTCACGGGCCATCTCAAGGACGGCGAAGTGGCGCGTCTGTTCAATGGCATCAGCCACTCCATCGAAGTGCACGGCCATTCCCAACTGGACAAGACGATCAAGAAAGTCAACGACTTCTACAACGCTGCGCTGAACATCAAGACCCAGAACATGATAGAGCGATACGTGTATGACGCTTGGAAGGTCCTGGTGATGGTGGCGACCGTCCTCTTCTTTCTGCTCATGGTGCTACAGACTTTCTGCTCGGCTTACGGTTGTTCGAGCCTAGTCAGAAAGACAAAATGAACTCGATCCGGCTTCGGTCTCCACGTGTTGTGTGTCCTCCTGTATCTTTTTTCCCGCATGTTATCACTAGGTTACTCTTGATATTGTCTTTCTTGTGATTTTAATTTCCTAGCTTGCTTTTCAGTGTGTTATCACTATGTTACTTCAATCCTATCTCTTTTTGTGATCTTAATTAACTAGCATGTAACAATGGCGGGGATCATCAATTTTGATGAGCAACATCTGAAAATATATTCTTGTGTCTTGGTTGTGTACCAATTGTGAAAGGAATTTACCCAACTTCTTGGTTTGATTTGGTTGGGTCTTGCTGCTCAAGAAAAAGGCGAAAACAAGCACAAATTGGACAGAACCAAACCGAAGTAAAATCAATGATCCAAGCCGAGTTATAATATAAGTACAATGTTTTAAGTCAATGCGGAAACCCTAATGGATCTTGCAACTAAATCAATGCGAAATCAACACAGACATAAACAAAGAATAAAATACCATAGATTTACATGGTTCGATCCAAGTGTCAGTATCTACTCTACTTGGAGAGTCAATAGCAAATAATCAACTAATAATTAGAGAATTGCAGAATTACAATCACTAACACTCGAGTGTTTTTAACACCCAAACACATTTCATTTACAAATAAAATAATTCAGTTGGATGTAAAACTCATAGCACAAAATCCTCCCAAAAGCAGGAAATCAAAAAGCAAAACCCATGATTTTCTTTCTTCCTCTAACAACCTCGTGGCCCCCACATGCAAATATATATTTAGGGATAATGACATAAATGGTCCTTAAACTTTGGTCAAATGTGCAATTTGGTCCCGAAACTTTTAATTTGTCCAATATGATCCCTGAACTTTGACCCAATGTGCAATGTAATCCCTGAACTTTTAATTTGTTCAATGTGGTCTTTAGACTTTTGGTACATGTTCAATGTAGTCCATGAACTATATAAAAATGTTCAATGTGGTCCTTTCATTTATTCAAGATCAGGGACAACATTAAATACTTTTATATAGTCCAGGGATTAAATTGAACATTTACCAAAAGTTCAAGAACCACATTGAACAAATTAAAAGTTCAGGAACCACATTGTACATTGGGCTAAATTCCATAGACCATATTAAATAAATTAAAAGTTCATAAACCACATTACATATTTGGCCAAAATTCAAGAATCATTTGTGTCAGTTTCCCATATATTTGTGAGCCTCTTCTGTTTGTACGAACAAAAGAAGTCCCTCCTCTGTACTCAGTATAAGGAAAGAGTCCAAGAAGTCAAACCGTTCAAAGCTTGGATAATCTTCTTCAACGGAGAACAAAATCAAGTTCCGCTACCGAAGAAATCCAAATCTCATTATGGTCAGAGGGCACATCGAATTTGAACAAATCAAAATCCTCCAAACAAGTTGAGTTTCATACACTATTCAAACTCACATACTTCAAAAATGAGTTGTATTACTTCAATAAAACTTTATAAATTATCAAAAATATTGATTCAATCAACAATATAAAAATAATTATTAATGATCCAATCCATTGATTAATGTAGTGCTCAATACCAAATTATGGCCACACTTAACGCCTCATGACAATGCCTACAAAGATTCTTCTTTGACATGGTTGTCCACTGTCCACCAATATTGGCCGGTGGCTCCGACCAAACAGGTCGTTTTGAGAACATTATGCATACTTACAATGAGTACTGATCATAACGACAAGAGCATAAATTATCAACACGATCCTCCAACTAGTCATAACACTATTTCAGAATTAATGTCATAAACTAGGTTCACAAGTCATTACATATATAACCTTTCACAAATCCTTCCATCAAGAAGAATATATATTTCATATATCATTTTAAAAATAATGAACTCCCAAGCTATTTCAAGATATACTTTACTATTTCATTTCATATAACCCAAAGGTAGTGAATGTCCAATCCAACTTTATGCAATAAATATGCTCTAAACACTACTTTTTCTTTTTAATAAATATCATACCGTGTGATGCCTCTTTCATAACTTCTAACACATATAATTCATATCACTTTCAAGACATGAGTTTACAAATCATAGAATAGACAAGCACTGATCACCTAAAAATTCGAAACCAAACAATGAAAGCAAACTAAAAATATTGATATATAATGATAAATCAACAAACCCGAATCAAAAGCATATCACCACAAATGAGGTATTGTAATCTTCATGGAATTTTTGCAAAGGAAAGGCGTATGTATTGCAGTTTTAAACTCATGTTTGGTTCACTAATAAACTAGAGTTCGAAATGGACTGCCATTCATTGGAATCGTATTCTCATTTTTTGGGATGGAACCATATCTCTAAATAGGATGATCAAGGAAATGGGATTATGACAAGCAAAAACCAATATAATGGAATGAGATTCTGACAAGATTGCGATATAACTTCTCAGCTTTAAGGCGCTAGTTTGATTCGTGGGGAAGTGTGAAAGGCAAAGCATTCCACACTAATATTCTTTTGAGCACCATTCCTCTTCAAGTATTTCAATTGGCTTGGAATAAAGGAGGAAAGTTATTCCATTAGGGCAACATTGTCATTTATTGGGTATATTTGTTTCGCGAAAAATACATGATTTGAAAAATATCTTTCTAAAAACGCTCGCTTGTATCACTTATACAAATGAATGAACGAAAAATGTTTTTATCATCCACTAAAATGTTTAGACATAAATCTTTTTCCTCAAAAGAAAAGGTAGTGTTTAGAGCATATTTGTTGCATAAAGTTAGATGGGGCTTTCACTACCTTTGGGTTATTTGAAATGACATAGTAAAGTATGTCTTGAAATAGCTTGGGAGTTGATTATTCATAAAACAATATGTGAAATATATATTATTGTTAATGGAAGGATTTGCGAAGGTTTATAGGGATAATTGTCAAAAGAATCCTAAACCTATTGTGCGGCGGAAAAATTGTTCAAAAAAGTCCTAAATCTATTGCATTTTTGCAAATTCAGTCCTAAACCTTTCAATTTTGCCAATTGAATACTAAATCTTTTCACGTTTTGTTAATTGAGACCATCCGGCCAATTTGATCAAAAATCGATGACGTGGACATCAATTGTCCTACATGGCACGGCTTGCGCTAACGTAGACAATTTTTAATATTTTTTAATTATTTTTTTAATTATTTTTTTCTTTTTTCTTTTCTTTTTACCTTTTCTTTTCTTTTCTTTCCTTCCATTTTTTTTTCAAACCCTGGCCGGCAAGGTCATCGGCCAACCATCGCTAGCCATAGGCAAGGGCCAGTGACCCTTGCCAGCTGCAGGCAAGGGCGTTGGGCCGTCGCCCAGATCCAAGCAAGGGCGTAGAGGCCCTCACCTAGTGTGGGCGACGATCGCGAGCCCCTTGCTTATGGCCAGTAAGGGCGCGGAGGCCCCGGGCCCTCGCTCATGGCTAGTGAAGGGCGTGACACCCTCGCCAACTAGGGTTTGAAAAAAAAAAAAAAGAAAGAAAAGAAAAGAAAAGAAAAGAAAAGGAAAAAAAATAGAATATTAATAAAAATTGTTCACGTCAAAGCTGGTCATGCCACATAGGACGGCTAGAGTTCACGTTAGCGATTTTGGGCCAAAATTGATCGGATGGACTTAATTGGAAAAACTTGAAAAGATTTAGGACTCAATTGATAAAATTGAAAGGTTTATGACTGAATTGGCAAAAATGCAATGAGTTTAGGACTTTGTGGCTAATTTTCCCACTGTGCAATAGCTAATTTAGTCTTAAACTTTTCAATTATGCCAAGTTAGTCCTAAACCTTTTAAAAATTTGTTAATTTAGTCATAAACCTTTTTTGTGTCATTTTAGTCCTAAACCTTTTGAAAATTTGCCAATTTTGTCATAAACCTATTATTTGGATATTTGGCCAAAGAACTACATTGGCAAATCTTCAAAAGGTTTAGGATTAAATTGGCACAACTAAAAGGTTTAAGATTGAATTAGCAAATCGTCAAAATGTTTAGGACTAAATTGGAACGATTGAAAGGTTTAAGATCGAGTTGGTCTTCGTGCAATAAGTTAATGACTTTTTGGACAATTTTCCCAAAGGCTATATATGTATTGATTTGCAAACCTAGTTTAATGAAATTAATTTTGAGGTGTTGTTGTGACTGGTTAGAGGATCGTGTTGATGGTTTTATGTTCATGTAGTTATGATTAGTACACATTTAAGGGTTGTGAGTATGCATACTGTTCTCAAAACACCCTGTCTAGTCAAACCCAATAGCCAATATAGGTGGACACCTATGTCAAAGAAAAATCTTTGTAGGCCTTCTCACAAGGCGTTAAGTGTGGCCATAATTTGATATTGAGCACTATATTGATCAATGGATAGGACCATTAATGTTTGTTTTGATATTGCGGATTGATTGAGTATTTCTAACATGTATACAGCTTTGTTGTAATATAACATCTTTGATCTTGTTAAATTATGTTTCGAGTTTGAGCTGTGTATGAAACACGACTTGTTTGGAGGATTTTAATTTGTTTAAATTCGACGTGCCTTTTATCCGAATCAGATTTGGATTTCTGGGGCTATGGAATTTACATTTTGTTTTCAGTTGAAGTAGATTATACAAGCTTTGACCGATTTGACTTATTGGACTCTTTCTTTACAGGGATATATGCAATGGAAGTCCGAAAACTTGTCACAAAAGCGTAATTAAGTCTTAAAACTTGCAAAAAAAGTGTAATCAAGTCATAAAACTTGTCATATTGGTACAATCGAGTTCTCTCATTAACTCTGTCCAACTTGCCTAAGGAAAAATGCTGACGTGGCCTTTTAAATATTTTCTCACTCCTATGTGGCAATGACATGGCTAAAACATGAAACATATCGCTAAAACGACGTTGTTTTGGTCCAAATATTATTTTTTATAAAAATTTTATTTAAATTACTTAAAAATAAGCTAAAGTAAAATAAAATAAAATAAAAAGGAAAGTTGAGCGGTGAGGGCTTGCAAGCCCTCACCATCACCCAACCATTGCCGATATGGTGGGGGAATGGTCTGTGGGCTAGGGTTCGACAACCCTCGCAAAATGCTATGAGGGTCGCCAGCCCTCACCCAGTTTTGGCCGAGAGCCACCACTGGCGGCAAATCCTCGCCAATGGTCCTGCGATTGGCAAGGGTCACCGGCCCCTAGCTGAGGCCCGGTGATCCCCACCGACCATTCCCCCACCATCGTAGGCAATGGTCGCAGCTGGTTTCCAACTCTCTCTCTCTCTCTCTCTCTCTCTCTCTCTCTCTCTCTCTCTCTCTCTCTCTCTCTCTCTCTCTCTCAATTTAGCTTATGTTTATTTAATTTAAATAAAATTTGTGTAAAAAATCATATATGGACCAAAATAATGTTGTTTTAGCCACATCATCGCCATGTAGGAGAGAGAAAAAATTTTAAAAAGCCATATCAGTATTTTCCGTTAGTCAAGTTGGACGGAGTTAACGGAAGGACTTGATTGCACCAATTTAACAAGTTTTATGACTAATTGCACTTTTTACAAATTTTAGCATTCAATTACACTTTGATAACAAGTTTTAGAATTTCACGTAAACATATCCCTTCTTTATATTGTGTACCAAGGAGGGGCTTTCTTTGGCCGTACAAAAAAAAGAGGCTCATATATTCTTAATATATTTGGTTGTGAGGCCAGGAGCCTCTTAGAGGAAGAAAGAAAAGCATGGGTTTAGCTTTCTGATATCCTTTCATCTATGATCCATACAAAAAGATTGACAAGGTCCAACTGTGCCGGTGGCTGGGCAAGGGTCAACCTAGCTAGATCAAGTGAGGTCGAGCCTCGTCGGCCCTCAATTGTGGCCAGTAGCCAGCAATCGCCGAGGCTTAGCGACCAGCGGTGGAAGAAGGAAAAAAAAGTAAAGAAAAGATTCAAAGATTTTAGCAAAAGTAAAAAATGCAAAAAAAATTATTCACGTTAGTGTTGATAGTGCCACATAGGATGGTCAATATCTACGTCAGCAATTATATTGGCAAATCGTTAAAAATTTTAGGACTAAATGGGCCAAATTGAAAGATATATGACTGAATTGGCATATGTAAATATGTTTAAGATTTTTTTTGGTAATTCTATCTACTAAACACCATACCGTGCAATGCCTCTTTCATAACTTCTAACGCATAATTCAAATCATTTTCAAGACATGAGTTCACAAATCATAGTATAGATAAGCACTTCTCACCTGAAAATGCGAAACCAACAACAAAAGCAAGACTAAAAATATCGAGATATAATGATAAATCAATGAACCTGAATCGAAAGCATCACAAATGAGGTATTGTAATTTTGGTGGAATTTATGCGAAGGAAAGGCGTATGTGCTGTAATTTTCGCCTGATGTTCGGTCTACTCAAAACTAGAGGTCTAAATGGACTGCCAATCTTTGGAATCGCATTCTCATTTTCTGGGAAGGAACTAAACCTCTGAATAGGATGATCAAGGAAATTGGATTACAACAAGCAAAAACCAATAAGAGGGAATGAGATTCCGACAAGATTGTGATATATAATTTTTCCAGCTTTAAGGTGCTCGTTTGATTCGTAGGAAAGTGAAAAAAGGCAATGCATTCTACGCTAATAATTTCTATTCTTTTGAGTACCATTCCTCTTCCTTTATTCCAATTAAGTTGGAATAAAGGAGGACAGTTATTCCATTATTTTCCTCCGTTGGTGCGTTTGTTTCTCGAAAAAAAATAAGTGATTAAAAAAATATTATTTTAAAAATGATCGCTTATATCACTTGAAGAAATGAATGAGCAAGAAATATTTTCACTGTCCACGAAAATGTTTGAGCATAAATTGTTGTCGATAATGAAAACATTCGTTATTGATTAATTATTTCAAGCGATACAAGCGATTCTTTTTATGAAAATGCTTTCTAAATAAGTCATTTTTCGTGAAATAAACACTCGTAATTGATTTCCACGATAGGACAAGAACAGAAGGGATTGCATAAACAAGTTCATAAAGTATAGGCCATGGGGCTCAAAAGAAAGTGCAAAGCCTATGAATGTTTTCTTGCACGACAAAATCCATTAAACAAAGCCCATGAATTTTTTTACCTCAAGGTCCATGAAAGGCCCAGAGCAATCTTCTTGACATAAACAGAGCAGCTACAGAGACATGTAGGTCGTACTTTGAAAATGTCATGACACAAGGACCATCAGGTCTTTCAGGTGGTCTTGCTCTCTTTTGGAGCTCGAACGGCACAGTCCAAATTGCCTTTGTTCATGCAGGGTGAGCAAATTACTAATGCAGTCAGAATCACTTTTGTTTATGCACCTCCTACTACCCTTGAGCAAAGTATCTACTGGGATAAATTGGGTCAAACAAACCAAGTCAATCATCTATCATGGGCCTGTCTCCGTGGGAAAAAGATGGACAAAGAGTGTTGATTGCAGCAGACTGAATGCTTTAATAGATGGGTGTGGTTTGTTGGATATTGATGTAAAAGGATGTAAATTCACTTGGTCCAACAACCCTGATCTTCAGGATCTCGTGTGTGCAAAACTTGATCGAATCCTTGCAACAGTTGAATGGGAGAATCCAATACCCAGCAGCTTAAGCTTTTGTCTTATCACCCTTCGGGATAAATAATATCTTCAATAGATATGATTGAATCCTTAAACAATCTAGTAAATACCAACAGAGAAAAATTTCCAACTTCAAATGCATAAACGAAGAAAGGTTATGTTGTGCCTCAGTTTAGCATCCACTTTCAGCAGACTCTCCAAACAAGCAGGATCATGGTTTGGAAGTGGAAAAGTAATGGTAGCAGATCCCAAGATAATTAGGCACATATAAATTTATGTTGTGGACGAAGGCGGAGGCTATAGTCAATCTCAATGACATGTATAAATACCCATAACAAGAAGAAAACTCAGTCGTACAAGATTTAATAAACCCAGAGAAGGAACATCTACAAGAATATACAAAACCGGAATATCCATTGTTCAGGTTCCCCGAATCAGAGGCAGATGACCTTTCAATGATGCACAAACAGCCTCTCATGCACAACAAAAAAAATGGAATTAAGATGGAGGAACCTATAGAACTTGACCAGTCTTCAGATCTTTCAGAATCAGAGCGATAATGCCACGGCAATGACCATCATTTGACCAATCAATCCTCGCAGGATTACAAAAATAGGTCAAAACTGCATGCTCAAGACTTTTTCTTAAGCATTGTCTCCTTAAAAGCAGATGGGCAAAGTTCATTTACACCACACTTATCGCATCGAGGCCTAAGTGGAGTGCATATTGTCTGTCCAAATCCCACCTACATAGTTCATGCAATGAGTTAGCTAGTTTTCGGCAGAATTGCCATAAGATCCGTGCATGGTCATTTTGTTGCAAAAATGAAAGTCTAAGACATGTCTTTCACCATGTGTGCCCACTAAAATGGATTTTTTTAAGCGCTCTAGGGCTTCTAGTATTTCTACTCTCACCTTCCAGTAAAGAACTACACATTACATCTGTAGGAACTGGAGGTCTTAACTTCTTACAATAAACAGAACCTAAAGGACTTCATCGTTTACCTACCTAAGTCTCACTAGAGACTAAAATCACAACCTCCACCTGATCATAACATTAAATTCATCTTTAGAGGCATGAAAGGTAAAGCACTGTCATACCAAAAGAGGAAGATGAGCGATAAGCAACAAAAAAAAAAACTCACGACAATAATAAAAATAAATACAACCCTTCTTGATTTTAATGCAGTGCTTCATGATACATAGTAGTGGATTTTCTATGCAATGGGCCATGAATCCAAGGAATATTGAGCCAAATGCCGCTTCAAGACAGGAATATACAATAATGATTATATGATCTAGACAGTTGCACATGCAAGTGTAAATGAGTTGTACTTACCAAAAGAGGGTTAATAGGGACCCATTCTTCCTTTGGCAGCCATAGCTGCAATGCCTCTCTAGTTTCTTCAGGAGTTGATGTCTTCGAGTAAGAGCCAAAATGAAAAGACATGTCGAAGTTAAGATTCAATAGTTGTAAGATATACTAGACCTTTTTTAGTTCAGGCGTCTTCTGGCTCAAGAAGGAATAAAAGTATGAAACAGGATCAGAGTACCAGATTGTTCAAATGCAAACAAGGTAGTGACCAACTGAGGTGACCGGTCTAATTCATTATTCAGACAATTGTGGAACAATTTTTAGTTCAAGAACAATTTAAAGCATCCATGCTTATGAGTCACCTCATGATGTGATAGCAATAATTTGGTGACAGGGGTTAGCAAAAGAACATAGAAGCCACATAATAAGGTCTAAATGGACAATCTCCCCTCATTATAACTCTGAATGTTAATTAACAAAAAGTTACCGAATTCCACCTTGCATTTTCTAGAAGTTTGTGATTCAATATCATCTCATTTGGAAAATATTTCTCACTGATGGGCTGAAAATAGTAAATAAAGAACAAGAAAGTTCGAGGAACATGAATTCTCAGTTCACTGCTATATAGTATTTCCAGGAGAATTCAAGAAGTTACAACCTGCAGAAGATGCGGAGACTAAATTAGGCAGGATTGTCCTGGACATTATTTTTCCAGAAATCACAGGGAAAATAAGAGATATTTGATCTATCATACCGAGAACTTTGATTTTAGTTTCATCATGACTGATTAGAAACATTAAGGAAATGCAACAACTTACCTGCTTTCTGCCTGGTCTGGAAACCCAACCAAGCCGATTGCATATGCGGTGCACGTGAGTATCTACACATATACCATGGACATTGTTCCACCCAATGTTCATAACCTGAAGCAACAATAAACAAAAAGTCCTAAGCAACAGGAGAAAATTCAAGGTTTAGCTTAAGTAATGCAAACAATCTTACCAGGTGAGCCATTTTAGGGCCTATTCCTGGAAGCTGTAGCAGCTCCTCCAGTGAGCTTGGAATGTCTCCAGCATACTTAGCAAGACAGATTGTGGCTATTTTTTTCAAATTACTAGCCTTCTTCGTGTAGAACCCAACCTAAGGAGAACATAGGAAGTTAAGAGGGTAGGTTTAATATGACACAGCATGAGCATAATTGTAGCCACATAGAAGATACGAGACTCATCAGTGCAGCTCTATCCCAATTTTGACGGCATTCCCTTATTCTGTTTTGTAAATACCATACTTTAGTGATAATGCTTATGAATAGATGTTAGAAAACCATGGGAAACAAAATCATAAGCAACAAGTCGACTATATGAAACATACGGGATAGATTAAGCTCCTAATAGATTCCTCATCAGCTTTGTCAATGGCATCAGCTGTAAGCATGTCATTCTGAAGGAGTCGCTGTACAGCACCTGCATTCCAAAGTATTGTAATCAGTGAAGGACTGAATAAATCATGCATGAGAGAGAGAGAGAGAGAGAGAGAGAGAGAGAGAGAACCAAATAGAATACAAACAAAAATGGAGACACCAAAAAATAGAAGAGAATTTAAACTCAGAAACAACAGTCTAATACTGTATCGTACAAAAAAATCTTATACTCCAGACGCACTGAGTCAATATTCAAACATAGTGAAATGGTCTGGAGGTTCCTTAAGATCTCATATAAGTTTCTCAAATCCTTCAAAGAATTCACGTCATTAATGCTTCTTCCTCCTTTCTCATACTACTCACGGCCCTCCATGCTGTTTACAAAGTACACCAGAAAACAAGAACTTGAAACCATGGAAAGGCACTAGAAATTTATAATGCAGAAGTGACAAATATTGCTATGCCAGAGACATCCTGAAGAGCACAAATTTTATGACATGACGGGAACAAGAACAAATTAAAATATCTTAAAGAAGCTGTTGATAATGCAAACACTGTACTTTCCATGTGTAACATGATCCTTTGTTTGGCTTGACAGGAGTGATGAAACCAAGACAGCGAACCTCCTTTCCTAACAGGAAAAGAAGTAAACACTTTTGTTGATGTCCACAAAGAATCAGTATTAAAATGAAACGAAGGCATCTTTAGGCATTTGTAAATTCAGCAACATGTCTATCCACATCTAACATTATCAGTGTACTAAGAAAGTGGTCTGAGAGGAAGCCACAGATGCATCTGGCATAGTTTACCTTCTTAACTATTTCCAATAGGGTTTATGAATTATTTGAGGAAATTACTTCTCCATGTGCTATTAATAAGATTTCAGAGTACATTGATTCTATTAGGATATCCCACATTGTTCAAGTGCACTGTTTACAATAGTTTCCCATATATGTAGTCATCTTCAACCTAACAGTTCAAGCTATTACGTTAGATTTTCTAACAAATTAAATATTGAAAGAAGAAAAAAGCAACCACCACAAAGATTCCTTATAATTGTGAGATTTGAAAAATAGCCATAAAATTTATTCCATGGCAAAAGGCAGTGCACAAATGCTAGAGGAGGTCCATGCATTCGCTTTTCTATTATGTAGCTCAATCACTGAGCTACTTTGAGGCAGTTAAAAGCCCTTTTCATCATCCTCACAAACTATGAAACATTATGTCATGTTAACAAGATTGCTGTTGCACTGTATGGATTAAGATCCGGGTTGCTCAATGAAAAAAACTTTGCAGTACTTGCATGCAGCAACAGAAACCATTGTAGAAACAAATATTCTTGTCACAAAATTGCATTATCAGCTCAAAAATAATGTACAGTCTACCATGTCAGTGTCGGTGTTTGTGCTTATCATCATAGTTCCCCAGCTAGTTCTATCATACCTTAGGAGGAAGAGAACTTCCAGCTTTCTCACATCCCATGCTGTCCACTGGAGCATCTTCAGAGGATCTCATCATGCGAATTCCTTCAAGAACTTTTTCCCAGTTTGGAGGTAGTGCACCTGTCAATTTGCATCGATCTCTCCAAATTATAACACAGAAGGTAAGCCAAAAGCAGTTTCACTTTACCATGTTTTATTTGCAACAATGTTTCAGTATCTATCAAAATAAGGAGGAAGATAAGTGTCCAATATCAGAAAGTGTCCTTTATCAAAGTTCCCTTCAGACCATCTGATCTTCTTGATACCATCATGCTTAACTGCTAGATTAGCATTTGATGCAGCTCATCTTTGGTTTATCAGAAACCAGTAGAAAGGAAGTTACAAAACAGAAAAATAGAATAGCGACTAATGCATTAATTCAAATGATCCACGATCTGAGCATATTTATGGCTAATAAAGAACCACCAAAAGATTCTAGACAAACAAATGGATCTGTCATCCAAATGTCAATGAAAAGCTGGTGGATTTAATGCGCAATAATTAGAAATACTATGCATAACTTTCTGTTATAACCAACATAACAACAACAAATGCAATATACCAAAGCACCTTTCATGCCTACCATCACAAAGAGCCAAAAGATAAAAGCCATTTCATGCATTTATATTCATCTATTACCTCTGGGCTTCACTTGGGAAACGACTCCATTCAACGGCACAATGACATCTGAGTTTAGTTTTGAATGTCCTGCAAAATCCCATTAAAGGAGAAAAGAACGCCTCATGAATCTCGAACAACAGTAAGGAAAACAAATTTTGTAACAAACCAAAGATACACTTACAGCCAAACATATCATAAGTTGTGATCCTCCTGAGAATTAGTATGGTTCAAATGGAAAATATGAAGAAGCTAAGGGTATATTTGTTTCAAGTAAACTATTTTCTGCCGAAAATGTTTCAACAGTAGCTCAATCCCCAAAAAGTCTCGAGTTTTTTTTTCCTGTATGAGTAATAGAAATGTCTTTCCTTGTTGTTACCAAAGAAGATCGAATTCAACTACAATTGCTATATTTCCATTTACCTCATTCAACATGCAAAGTGAGGATACTCCTGCGAAGATAAGGTGACAAGTTGCAAGAGCTGATGCTAATGGAAGACGTAGCTTCAAAACTTGTAGCCTCAAACTTTTCCAAAAAAAAGGCTGCTTAGAGAGACATCGGATAATATTCCCAGTTATAGGTCTGTGCATGACTAGCTCAACTGGAAAATAATCCTCTGGTAAATAGTGAGTAAAAGGTGGAAGACCAATTTCCCTGGATTTCTTTTCCCAGCAAAAGAATTTGAATGAAAGACTGATCAACCATCAAAACTTTAGATTTTCCTGGCATTACCGAAAGAATCGAGACCACATTCGTACGCCAACAATTATTATGGACAGGCAGATCTATATTGGAAGCAAATGAAAAGGGAATAGTCCCGCTAAACAGAAACCGGTAGATGCAAAAGGGATAACCACTGGACCAAACTGATCATACACATTTAGCTCAATAAAGGGAACATAACATCAGCATCAACAGACGTTGGCAAACTAGGTAGTGTTTACACAAAGTCAAACTGCTCTCCTTTTACATGAAGAAAGTTGGTTCCTTGGACAAGACTTACCTGATAAGGCAGATCCATTAGGATTCTTGTATGCAAATTCTTCGATGTCAGGTAATTCACTTGGCTGCTAAACAAGTTATCATAAAATTAAAATGATCAGTTATTTAGTCATCTTTCAAACAAAAATACTAAGACGATGAGACATATAGTCAACCATGATACATAATCTATCAGATAATATGCATCCTACTACGGCCATAAACAGGCCTTATCACACTAACTGGGGCTAGACACGGACCGTCCTCTTACACCATTGCGCTCTAGCCTCCAGGTAAGCTCAACGTATGCATGATCTTGTCTTCATATCCAAGTGAATATGCTTTCTCCAATTACTCTGCATGTTTTGCTCATATTAAATCTGTAAGGCAGACCAAGCCACGTAGTTCATAATTGGCAAGCGGTTAACTCGAAGCGCTCCTCATTAAAACATCTAAGGACAAAAGCGCCTCTCGTCCGGCATTCGGCACCCTCTTCCGGCATTCGGCACCCTCTTCCAAACCAGATGCATTCGCATAAACTCTCTGAATAAAATCTTATGAGTACACCAACCCTCATGGAGCCAGACCAAACATATGCTAGACGCAACTCTTAGTAGACAATTGCCCACAGATGATGCAATGACATATGGAACACGCATCTGACCGTATTACAGATTCTCTAAGAACAGAAACAGAAACAAAGGCCAAGTGGGACCGTCGAGAGGAAGCTACTTCATGTAAAAGGAAGCAACTTTCCCTAGTAAAACGACGTTTCCACTACAAGTACAGCGACCCCAGAACGATGATCTGAATGCGGCACACGTAATCTCAACGGGCACAAAGAAGAGATATTTAGTTAACCTTCCGACTAAGAAGAGGTTCGACTTTAGGCTGCTTTTGCTCGACCGGTACCGCCTCCATCGACCGCTTCTTCTTCTTCCTCCTCGTGAAAACGCGAACCGCGGGCAGAGAAGGTCCACCTGGAGCTGCTTCACCTGCGACCCATTACAGAGAGAGAAGAAAACAGCGAAGGCGAGCAACGACAGTGGAGATTAGCGCGCTCCGTTTCGATTTCGAACTGCATAGGATGAGGAGGAGGAAGCAAAAGGGGGACATGGGGACGGAGGCGTTGTAGCCGACCTGGTTCGTGCCCTGAGGAACCGGGGGCTTCCGGGCGGCGCCCGTAGGAGGAGGAGAAGCGTGCCGTTCGCCGCATCCTGGCGGGCTGGAATCGCCGGAAGCCGAACGCAGTCGACGCCGACGAAGAAGAAGGGGGAGGAGGAGCGACACTTCCTGCGACGGCGTGGAACATTTTCTTCTTTGTATTTTCCTCTTGTTTTTCTTTTTCTTTTTCTTTTGCCGGGAAAGAGGCAAGGTGTGAGTTCCCTCCGGAGCAGGTGCTCTTCTTGTTTTCGCAAAGGCGTGCTTAAATTTTTAATTTATTTATTATGATTCGTGAGCTTTTTATTTAACGTGTAATGTTGTTCCTAAATTTTTAATTTACTCAATATGATTCTTAAATTTTTAGTACATGTTATCTCTGAATTTTCAATTTATTCAATATGATACTTGAATTTTTAATATATATTTAATTTAATCCATAAATTACAATATTGAATATTTTTCATATATTCCATTGACTCCAAGACAATCGCCACCGGCGTCTCCTTTGCACGGTGGCACAAATCTGAAGATTCGATGCCGCAACAGAGAGTGGGGGCGAGGGATTTTCAGGCGGCCACGTCACCTCATAGTGATCGAGATCTGGGTTGTCGGCGATTCTGAAATTCTTCAGAAACTCCATCACCATCTTCACCTCGCTTACAAATAACTTATAAGTGATCTACGAAAGTCATACTGTCAAAGGACGCACATACGAAGACAAAAGAGCGAAACCGCAATGCTTGCTGAAGGGCTTCCTCTGCTACGTTAGTGTCCACATGTTTGAGCCGTCACCGATGCGAGTGCAGGCGTTGATATGATATGGTTTCGCTGTCACACTGAGAGCAGCTTGGAGCCATTTGCTTCACCAAGAAAAATGAAAAAGTTGATGCTTATGCAGTATGCGAGTATGGTCAATCATGGGGGCTATTGCCTTCAAATGATAGTTACCATATTTCGCTGCAGTCCCAGAGACATTATTACACTAATTTTGCCCAGGATGTTTGGACTAGAGCTTTGGATGAAAATAATCGGAAAAGTCCTAAATCTATTGTATTTGTGTTAATTTAGTAATAAACTTTTTAATTGTACCAATTTAGTCCTAAATCTTTTGACCTAATGCCAAATCAGTCCTTTAGGTTAATTTTGGCCGGATGTTGCTAACTGTTGAAGTTGGCGAATACTTCGGGGACCCTTATTTCTCATACCGGGCACATCCACATGAGTTTAGGAAAATTGAAGTATGATCCGACGACATATGACCTCTGCACACGGAATGCGGGGGTTGCCCCGACACGAGGGTCCCGCTGACCAGACAGCGGGCGGGGGTTCCGCTCCCCGGTGAGTGGACGGCGCCCCCGAAACAACATCGGTTTTTTTGCTTATGTTTTAAGTTGACCCGTTTGTTGTGAGATTAAAGGGATTCGGATAGGCTTAAGCTTTGGGCCCATTTTAAATCCTATATATATTATACTCGTATGAGAGATCATTGAAACGAGTGGCTGTGGTTGTAAATCTAAATCATAGTGGAATCCCTTTGCAGGACGTAGTCCTATTTTAGGGTGAACCTAGGTAAACTCGTGCATCATTTAATTTTCTTCTTTTCTCTCCATGATCGTTCTAATTCGGTTTGCGATACAACCCATCACTGACATGGACGTTGGGCGGCCCACGTGCGTGGATAATTTTTAATAATATCTTAATATTTTTTCGAATTTTTTTAAATTTTTTTCTTTTTTCCTTTTCTTTTTTTTCTCTTTTTTTCTCACTCTTTTTTTTCCTCCTCTTCCCGATGGCCGGCAAGGGCAACCTAGCTGGGTGTTGCCTGGGCCCAAATGAGAGTCGGCCTTGCCAAATTTGGTGGGCGTCGGCCTCGCCGGCGCTCGCCCTCGCCAGCGCTCACCCTCGCTGGCCACAGAAAAGAGGAGGAAAAAAAGGAAAGGAAAAAATTTGAAAATTGTTAAAATATTATTAAAAAGATGGCCACGTCAGCGCCGGCAATGTCACGTAAGCCAATCGACATCCACGTCAACAATTTTCGATCAAAATTAGTTAGAATAATTGAATTGGCACTAGGTTACAAAGTTTAGGACTAAATCGACATAATTAAAAAATTTAGAATTAAATTGACATTAATGTAATATGTTTAGGGCTGGCAAGGAAAAAAGTGTCAAAAAAATCCTAAACCTTTTTTGCGTTGGTGCCAATTTAGTTCTAAACCTTTTTAACTAGTGTCAATTCAATCTTTCTGACTAATTTTGGCTGGATTTTATTGATATGGATGCCAGTCGGCCTAAGTGGCATCGCCGGCGCTGACGTTGATAAATTTAATATTTTTTTCGATTTTTTAATTATTTTTTCAAATTTTTTCAAATTTTTTCTTTTTCTTTTTTTCCCCTTTTTTTTTCCCCTTTCTTCTTCCTCCGGCCAGAGGCCAGGGGATCTCTGGTGAGCCTCGCCAGCCACTGGCGTGGCTTGCCCTCGCCCGCAACAGCGAAGGCGAGCCTCGCCCAACCCAGCGCGAGGCTCGAGCCCTCGTCGGGGCTCGCCCTCGCACAGGCAAGGGTCGGCCTTGCCTAGGCCAGATCTGGTGAGGGGAGCCCTTGCCGGGGCTTGCCCAGACCACACTGGGCCTCGCCCAGGTGAGGGCAGCCGGCCCAGCCATGGGCGGTGGGTGGCCATCGCCTGTGGTCGGTCACTGGCAAAGGGAGGATGGGAGGAAGAAAGAAAAAATAATCAGAAAAAATAATTAAAAAATCAAAATATTAAAAATATTATTAAAAATTATCCACGTCAGCGTCGGCGGTGATACGTAGGCCAACCGGCGTCCACGTCAACAAAATTTAGCCAAAATTAGCCAGAATGACTGAAAAATTCAGAACTGAATTGACATAAAAAAATTTAAAATTAAATTAATATCAATATAAAAGATTTATGACTTTTCTGATACGTTTTTTTTTTAGAGCGGCGGTCTTTGGAGTGTTTGATCAAACCAAAGAGGAGAAGATAATTCTCCAACTGAACGGTCAAACTCAGCTCAGGTAAACATCTCATCAATGACTGTCAATGTAGCCTTTGCTGGTTGGCCGTGGGTGGACCACCACCTTTGGACTTGTCCTGTTTATTAACGTTGGATCATTGAGGCTCCTAAAGTACCAACTGCTATAAAAGGTGTCCCACGAGAAACGCGTTTTCCCACCAAGAAAAGTTGGCAGTATTTATTTCGGTGATCATTGTCATGCAATTAAAGACAAACTATATTGCTAGTGACTTGGCTTAATTACGTACCAACACGAAAGTGTAACACATATGAAAAACTCATCAGAAGACCTCTGCATGATTTATTGATAATTTAGGCTTGTATCAGAGTAAACTCAAACTAAACCAAAATTGTCGATTTCATATACTCTACAATTTTCTCTCCATTAGGAAAACCTACCAAAAAATAAAAACTGAAGTAGGCAACTTGTCCTGGCAATTGTTACGACCAAAATTTATATAAATATGTGACTTCATGCATCGATTCCCAAAGATTTATATGAAAAGATATATAGATTCTTGGTTCCAATTTTCACCTCAAAGAAAGGTGCATTAAACTCGACACCAAATTAGTACTTTTTTCGGTGATTATTGTCATCTTAGCTAACTTTCATGATACGTTGAATTTGCATGCAATATATTTTTTTGCGAGTGATAAACCCTAGATCCTATTTTCTCTCTTGCATGTTATGAGTATTTATCTAGACATTTATCCGCTCAACTCTGATAAGAAAAGCTTTAGTACATAGTGTAGAGAAATAAGACATGACCATGTGTCATTATCACAATCTTGACAGTCTAGCCCATTAATTTTTACTTTTTAATTTTTTTTCAGGGGTTTAATAGCGAGATAAGCAAAGCTCAACTCTATATAAATCAGACACATTAGAGCTAGGATGATGCATTCGACCAAATCTATAAACACACCCACACTGTCAACCCCTAGAAAAGAGAAAAATAATTGAGAGCTGATCTTATTTTGATCATCAACAATGTCTTCTTCGTCCAAAGAAATGAGTGAATGGTTCAAGGTTGTCCATGACAAATTCATGAAAGAGCTTGAGAACAATATTGTTTCCAGTGTGTGCGTTTTCCAAGTCCCCAAGTCACTCAGCTCTGCCAAGCCTGAGGCTTATACCCCCCAACTCGTCGGCTTAGGACCCTATCACCACCTTCATCCTAAGCTCACAGAGATGGAGCGCGTCAAGCTCGACGTCGTGAAGAAGCTCCACAAGGAGTTACACCTCTTGAGCTTCGACAACCTCTCGAAAGAGCTCGAAAAGTTGGACCTCTATGTCCGTGCGTGTTACCACAAGTTCTTGGACATGGATTCCAACATGTTGTCATGGATCATGACCATCGACGCGCTGTTCTTATTCGATCTGCTCTGCCAGCACGGCTTCACAGAAGAAGCCTTTTCCTGTTGGCGTCGCTGTGATTTCATCGAGGACGACATACTGAAGGACGTCATGATGTCGGAGAACCAAATCCCTGGATCATTCCTGGCGAAGGTGGTGACGGCTGCCAAACAGAAGAATATTGTCAACGAGAAGACCCTCGAGTCGTCGCCTGATATGCAGGGCCTAGCCAACCACGCGGGCAAGAAGCTCACCGAGGACGCCATACTGAGGGATGTCATGATGTTGGAGAACCAAATCCCGATATTCTTCTTGAAGATGTTATTGACGGTCGGGTGTGCACCGCTACCATTATCCCAGCGGAAGATGATCAAAATGATCTTCCCCCTCATGCTGGTGCGGTTTTGCGAAGCTCTCTCACCCTTCGAACAAACAACATTGTACGCCAGCACCAGACCTTTGACGCGTGCGCATTTGTTGGATCTTCTCTATAGCATGATCATGGAGAGAGACGAAGAGTTCAAGATCGATATACCCGCTGACATCATCAACTATGCGAAATCAGATGAAGAGTTTATGCCGTGGCGCTTCAGTGAGTGGTATGATAATGGAATTGATGGCCTAGTGAGTGGTATGGGTTATAATCCTAAGACAATGATAGAGGCCGTGGTCAAATTTATGAACACGTTGAGTTCACCCCTTGCTCTCTATGATCTACTCACTTCATGCCTCCCTTCATCCAAGTCCGAAGAAGCTCCCCCTGAAGAGAAAGCATTGATCCCAACAGCGACC